AATCCTCGCGGCGCGCGCTCTTGTCCAAGGTGCTGAAAACACACCGAGATCAAAACATGAGGTAAAAAATCGCACACGTCATCCAATTACATGTTTAATTCGACTACAGTAAGAGTCCGAGACCAAAGCATTCATTTGTGTTGATAAAAACGAAAATATTGTGAACAACAACAACAACAACAGCACTGAGCACGAAATATTGTTGATCTACAAAGCTAGTAATTATTACCATTACATAGGCCTATATATTGTTCAATGTAATTCAGGTTAAATGAATTATTATTATAAATAATTATATTTGTTACTGTACCGATCTATTCCTACCTGATCTGAGTCTTAAAATGTCAACTTTCAGTAATGTAATACTTAAAAAAAAAAAAAAAAAGTAGTTAATTTAGCATATATATGTGATTAGAAGGACATATATATGCTATATTATATTGTTTTGGTTACCTGAAAAAAGTTTTTCCTCAGTGTTGTGTTCTGCCATTTGAATAACATCGTAGTGATGATTATGTTGAAATACAGATAAGAGATATTTTTGATGAAATAAGATACTTTTACGTATTTATTATTTTTTAAGCATTCTTATTTTTATTTTGTATGTGCTTTGTATAATATAAATGGTAGCTGAAGTCTACAGAGCACGTGTGTGTGTTTGTTTGTGTGTGTGAGTGAGTGTGAGCGTTTCTGTGTTTGTGAGTGTGTGTGTGTGTGTGTGTGTGTTTGTGACTGAGTGTGTGTGTGTGTGTGTGTGAGTGAGTGAGTGAGTGTGTGTGTGTCTGTGTTTGTGAGGGTCCGGGAGTGTGTGTGTGTGTGTGTGTGTGTGTGTGTGTGTGTGTGTGTGTGTGTGTGTGAATATGTGTATGTGAGAGTGTGTGTTTATGAGTGTGTGTGTGTGTGTGTGTGTGTGTGTGAGTGTGAGTGTGTGAGTGTGTGTGTGTGTGTGTGTGTGTCTGTGAGGGTCCGGGAGTGTGTGTGCGTGCGTGTGTGTGTGTGTGAGAATGTTTGTGTGAGTGAGTGTGTGCGTGCCTGTGTTGCGTGTGTGTGTGTGTGTGCATGTGTGTGAGTGAGTGCGTGCGTGAGTGAGTGTGTGTGTGTGTGTGTGTGTGTGTGACTTGAGCTAGGATAAATAAACAGGAAGTCATCGTAACACAGTCAGCGATGTATGATATAATAATCCTCAGTGATTTAATAGTTATTCACGTTGACTGAAAAGGCCCGTGTTAAGAATCATCACTCATGCCACATCATCACTCTAATTATGATGAACTGGGTGTCGTCTGTCATATCGTCGATTAATGATGTATGATCTTCAGTCTGTTCTGATTGGCTGACACTGACTGGGATTAAAAGACTATAGCTGTTAGAATTGATCAAGAACTCTTAATAAAGCGGGAAAAGCCTGTTTAATGTGTGTTGAGAAGGCGACCGTAGTGTGTGTGTGTGTGTGTGTGTGTGTGTGTGTGTGTGTGTGTGTGAGACTGTAGCAGCAGCGCTGACCTTGAATCATTATTTGTTTTGCCAGTCATAATTTATTTGTGACAAGTGCTCTATGGCCTCATCTATTCTCATCTAAGCAATCCGAGACAGTTTCTGTCCCCCGTGTAGCGGACACACACTGTGCTTTCTTTCATATTTTGTTTCTTTTATAACCCAGCTTGACTTCAATACGTCCAATTTATATCACTATTGTGAAAACAATGACAAGCAATGTTTCATTTTGACATAATTTGGTGGTGTTATCCAGCACCTGTATCTCGGAGAGCTCCAGCTCAGCGAGTCTGTCGTTTAGCCAGATCTAACATGTCTGTCATTAGATCAGCTCCGAGTGAAGCCATTAGCGGCGCGTGCATCAGCGCTGCTGTGGGTCTGTGAGCTCCTGATGATCAGAGATCAGCTGCTGGGGGTCGGGGAGCTCGTGTAACGCTGTCAGCACTTCTTCTTCTGCTTTCTTCTTCTCCTCGGAGCTGAGGAGGGGTCCAGCAACAGAAGCTCCTGTACAGCGCAAAATACAGAACGGGAGCAATTATTGAAGAAGTGATAAGCTGATGCGCTTTACTTCGAGGTTACGACTGTGCAACATGGCTAAAAGTTATATTTATTTCAAAATGTTCAGCCCAAAAAAACAACATTTTGTATATATATATATGCATATTATGGAAGCTTGTTTCCGCCACAGGATATAAAGAAAAAGTTAATTGTGACTTTTTATCTCAGAATTACATGATACTGTATAATGTCGCAATTGTGAGATAAAAAGTCGCAATTATCTTTGTTTTATTCTGTGACGGAAGCAAGTTTCCTTAATATATATATATTTTTTTTTATGAATGAATGAGGCATTTATATAGCGCTTTTATATGTACTACTGTACACCCAAAGCACTTTACACACATATCAGGGTTTATATAACTAATATATATATATGAACAATTATATTGTGTATATATGTGTATATATATAATTTTTTTTTTTTTTATATGCATATATAATTTCACACACACACACACACACACACACACACACACACACACACACACACACACACACACACACACACACACACACACACACACACACACACACACACACACACTATCTTTGTGTGTGTGTAAAAATGATATATATGCATATAGAAAAAGTCTTTTAGTCTTTTGTCTTTTGACAATACATATTTGAGAAAATAGTTGTCTATAAAAATAGTTTAAGCCGTTTTATATGTTAACATGGTACTTTACAATAAGGTTTAATTTGTTAACAACATTAGCCAAAATTCAATAAGAATGAACAAAACTTATACATCATTTATTAATATTAGTTCATGTTAATTTCAACATTTACTAATACATTTTCAAAATCAAAAGTTGAATTTGTTAATATTAGTTCATGTATTAGTATATATATATTAGTAATATTAGTAAAGAACTAACAGTAAGCAGCTCTTTTCTTGCAGCTGAATATGCAGATGAAACTCAAAAAATGAGAATATCATGCAAAAGTTCATTTATTTCAGTAATTCAACTTAAAAGGTGAAACTAATATATTATATAGACTCATTACATGCAAAGTGAGATATTGCAAGCCTTTATTTGTTATAATGTTGATGATTATGGCTTACATGAAAACCTTTTCACAATATTCAAATTTTGAATTTGGGGTTTTCATAAGCTGTAAGCCATTAATCATCAACATTATAACAAATAAAGGCTTGAAATATCTCACTTTGCATGTAATGAGTCTATATAATATATTAGTTTCACCTTTTAAGTTGAATTACTGAAATAAATGAACTTTTTCACGATATTCTAATTTTTCAAGTTTCACCTGTATATATAGTATATAAATACACAAACACATTTTTTTATTCTGAGATAAACAATCTGATCATTGCTTCGAGTTTTTTTTGTTAAAATTAAATTTAGTTTCAATAAAATCTAGTAACTAGACCTGTTTAGTCAGTCAAATAGCTCACATCTCTAAACTGACCCTTTTTACTAGCGGTGAAAACACTTGTTGTTCCGTTTAGGCCATTGTGACCTTTGCCCTTTGGTCGGCTAAAAAATTACCCAATTACAGTGACCCATATTGAAGCTACAAGGACAGTGTAATTGTTGTGTCGTTTATTTGAGACACTTGATGAATAACCTTCATGGCTTCTCTGATAATGACCTGCGGTGTCCAGGGATTTGTAACCCGGTTTAAGTTTAGTAGCCGGAGTGTTTTTATCATGCGCACAGAGGGAAGAAACCCACATTAGCGAATGGCCGCCACTAATCTAGGCTTTGAATGAAGCCTCGAGGGACGAGGACCGGCTGTAAAGCCACCGTTCATTGATTAGTTCGTTCCAGTGCTTTCCTGAACTCAGAGATCGGGATCCAAACAACCCAGTTCTGCAGAAACTGAGCGAATCTCAGGAAATATTTGATCTCACAATGCCTGTAAATCAGTTGTTCAGATATATATACGACATATGTCCGGATATATAGATGATTAAACCTCTGGGGCCGGTTGCAGAAACTGCTAAGACTTACAAGTTAGTCATACATTTCTTTTCCTTTAAGACTGATCATATATTTTTCAAGTCAGTTACATAAAAACGTAGATTGGTCTAATTTGATACGGAAAAGTAAGTAACTTACACATGTAAGTAACACACAGTCTTAACATGATGGCTGTGTTTATGCAGCTGTATTTCATCAGATAAATACGTTAACCAAGTTTACTGTTTTGTTCTTCCCTCGTATTTAAAAAATCTAAAATAGTTTCCTCATA